GTTCGATGGGGGGAAGTCAGTCGGAGTGAAGAACGAGTGAAAAATCATGAATATTCAGCGTCACCCCCTTCAATAAATATATTTGAAAAATATATAATGAGGGGAAATCCACATATTTTTCAAATTTATAAAGAATATATAAAAAATATATAAAATATATCGCTTATATATTTTTTTATATATTCTTTATCAATTTTAGAAATATATGAAATTTATTATTTATTTAATTATATATTTATTTATTATTTGGAAAATATATGGAATATATTTGAAAATGTATATATATTTTTTAATATAAACTGGGCCAATTTAAGATATTTTTTTATATATTTTCCAAAATATAAATTTTTCCGTGTGGGCACTTAAATTACATTTTGCACAGAATTATTATTTTTTCAAACACGAGTTGTTTTTAAATGAGTTATTGAAATTGTTTGAATTTTCGGAAAGCTCATTTTTTTATCAATATAATCAATTAATAATAGTAAATGAATTTTCCTTATTACATCGTCAATAATCAATGGATCTCAAATTTTGTGTTGCATAATCAATCAGTAATTTTAATTGCCACTAACAATTGGAGAATCCATTTGAGAAATTTCACAATTATTCAATTCATACACAAATGTTTTGGAGATCCGCATGAAGATATTAAGTTAACAATGAAATTATTGTTTAGGTGTTGAGGAGAACGATTTTATTAACATGTAATAACTTTTTATTTGGAATGAATAAATCCTTCATTTCATGTAATTAAAGCGCGTTGTTGAAATCAATAGAAAAGTCTTAAATGAAGACTTTAAATTCAGTTTATTGCAATTTTAATTGTCGAGCAATTAGCAATAATTTTGTTACTTAAATTTTGAAAATCTTGATTTAATTTCTCTCATAAATCATTCATTAATAATCAATTTCTCACCCTGAAATCATCACTCCAAAAGTTTAAACAAGTTGAATTATTCATTCATACGTAGAGAATGCCGAAAAAATATGTTTTGAATTTCTTTTCCGCATATTTAATTGAAAAATGTCATGAACATTCGCAATTGTTAATTATTTGAGCTCACGATTACTCTCAATGTTTTGTGACGTTCATTGTATTCCCCATTTTATGCCAGAACTCGTTAGCAGAATCTTTTGTCCTATGGTTAATGTATCGAGGCCACAGGTATCCAATCGCAACAGCTCGTTACCTCCCCAATGTCACTAATTGCATATTAAAACGAGGAGAACAGGCTGTGGTATCAAATTGACAACGTCGAATCGTGGAAAATCAATCTCACCTTTCTCACGATCCACAACCGTATCTCTCCATTTTACCCTGCATAGTCGACTGATTCGGAGTGCCAGTGGGATATCCCTCGGAAAGTACCAGCCTCCAATCGTTGCACTCTCTTGTTTGCAGATCTCATTGCAACGATGAGATAAAACTGTCATCATGAAAGTTGGCCTACTATCTCCTGGCTACTGGTATCACGATAGTAGTCAGTCTTCGATATCTCTCCCAGCTTTCGTCGATTCAGCTACCTTTCCCTATCTTTCTCTTTTTCCGACGATCGTCGCGAGGCGCATGAAAGGGGTAACTGTCAATATTTACATACGGAGGGAAAAAAAATTGATTTTTGGGAACATGCACTGTGGAAAATTTCTAGCTGAAATTTCCGGTACATTTTTTAGAAATTTTCGTTATAATATTAAACATGCAGAATTGCCCGGAAAAACCAATAAGAACTCAAAATTTCGGATCAATTACTCCCTGATAATATTAGAAATCAGGTAAATAAAGATGAATATATTCTTGAAGTTTCATGATTTAAATATTCATGATTTCATTGAAAACTTTAATAGATTTGAAAAGTTTTGATTATTAGGAACATGCACTGTTGGAAATTTCTAGCTGAAATTTCCGGTACATTTTTTGGAAATTTTTGTTACAACATTAAACATTCGGAATTGCATGGAAAAATCAATAAGAACTCAAAATTTCAGTTCAATTATTTCCTGATAATATTAGAAATCAGGAAAATTCAGATGAATATATGCTTGAAGTTTCATGATTTAAATATTCATGATTTCATTGAAAACTTTAATAGATTTGAAAAGTTTTGATTATTAGGAACATGCACTGTTGGAAATTTCTAGCTGAAATTTCCGGTACATTTTTTGGAAATTTTTGTTACAACATTAAACATTCGGAATTGCATGGAAAAATCAATAAGAACTCAAAATTTCAGTTCAATTATTTCCTGATAATATTAGAAATCAGGAAAATTCAGATGAATATATGCTTGAAGTTTCATGATTTAAATATTCATGATTTCATTGAAAACTTTAATAGATTTGAAAAGTTTTGATTATTAGGAACATGCACTGTTGAAAATTTCTAGCCGAAATTTCCGGTACACTTTTTGGAAATTTTTATTACGGTTTAGTTTCACTGGAATTTTACGGAATTCCTTCATTAAACATTCAGAATTGCATGGAATAATCAATAAGAACTCAAAATTTCAGTTCAATTACTCCCTGATAATATTAGAAATCAGGAAAATTCAGATAAATATATGCTTGAAGTTTCATGATTTAAATATTGATGATTTCATTGAAAACTTTAATGGATTTGAAAAGTTTTGATTATTAGGAACACGCACTGCTGAAAATTACTAACTGAAATTTCTAGTACATTTTTTAGGAAATTAACTCGAAATTTCAGTTCAATTATTCCCTGAAAATTGGTAGAAATCAGGAAAATTCGGGTGAACATATTCTTGAATTGTGAATTAATTGAAAATTCAAATTGGCGCTGTTCAAAAATTTGAAATTTCATTGAATTTCCCGTAAAGCCTGAAATTCCATAATTGTTTCCAGTTAAATCGCATTCAGTATCACCTTCCTGAAAATTACTAGTCGACTTCCATGAAACGTCATTTTTTTTTCGAATACTGTGTGACTGATTTATAAATCTATCACCAATTATTGCTGATCCTGACACTGAAATTTGGTGGCAGATTCCTGAAAATCAGTGACATGTCTGTTGAAATGACTTATAACATATTAACAAATTCGTTCTCTTCGCCATCTAATGAATCATTCCATTTATAACTAACACAGTCTTTACGATCTTCGAAAAAACATTTAAATTCCACGGAATAGTAGTGATGATTTCTATTAATTCTCGTAGAACAATTGACCTGAAATTTACTGCTTCCATCTATTTTTCCTCAAAATTGTGGGTTTGCAGTGACGAAATATCGTGAAATTCCAGTGAAACTCCCTCAAAATGATAAAAAAAATCCCGGGAAGTTCGCCGGAAATTTCAGCCAAAAAATTCCAACACATTTTCATTTACTTCTCCACTCGCCTACCTCTGAATTAGCCTTAATCACGTTTGGAGGATTGCCAAGGGGCTTCCACCGAGTACTTTTATTTCGCATTCAACATCGATACGGAATATTGAATAGTCACCACGGCATCATGAAGTTGAATCATTGATTGGAGAACAGGGAAAATCATTTATCTTGGAATCATCAATTTTTATACTGCACTATAATTTTCAATGCTGCAGTGGCCAGGGGGCGGGGAGAGACAACTCGAGGAACGTTTTCTCTGTGGAATATTGAACAACGGTAGAGAACAGAATAGAATTGAAATTGTTTATTGACAATGAGCAGGGAAGGATTGCGTTTCAGGTGAGCTATTGTGGCTGATGGGTCTGGTTGAAAATAATAAAAATTGTTTTTTTTGCATTTGACTGAAGCGTGTCAAGGTCAGCCGTTGTCGGGGGAATTTACTTGTTTGCTGGTGATCGGTGGAGACTGGTGCATTGTGGTACAAGTCATCCCTTTCGGGGAATTTCGAACTTGGGGTGTTCTAAGGCGAATGAGAATGCAGGAGGCATGTTATGAGTTGCATTTTGCATGAATTTCTGGTTAACGATTTCCTAGAAAATTTCATGGGAGAATTGAATTCACTAGACAATTCTGTTGAACTCCTACAGAAAAATCAATAGAAAGCTTTTTTACTCAATTCTATTGATGGAAAAAGAAGGAAAATAGAGTGAAGTTTAGAAAATTGACTTCAATAAATTCTTGTAGAAAATCTCTCAATCGAAAAGACTGTCTTAGGAAACTAAATATGTGTTGATTTTCTATTGGACTTTTCATTAGTTTTTGGAAGAATCGATGTAATATTCAACGGAAAATGTTCTGTGGAAGAAATCAATAGAATTGGTTTTTTCTGTTGATTTTATCCTATAGAAAAATTCATAAAAAGTTTTTTTACTTAATCCTTTTGGGGGAAAAGAAGAAAATGGATTTTCGATTGGATTTTCTATTTTTTTGCCGAATCGATAGAAATGTTCAACAGAAAATATTCCATGGAAAAAAATCAATAGAATTAGTTTCCTCTGTGGATTTTCCCCTATAGAAAATTCGATAGAAAGTTTTTTTTACTTAATTAGGTTTACTTAATTTGATTTCACGCCAATAAATTCTAATACAAAATGTCTTAATGCAAAAAATTGCCTAGAAAGGTGGAGCTAATATTCTATTTCATTAATTTGCCAACTAGAAATATTCATTTCCCATTCTATTCTTTTCAATAGACTTCTCACGAATAACTAACCTACTAAAAATCAATTGAAATCCATTAAAACTATCAAGAATACCGGTCAAGTAACAGTGAAAAATCGTCTGTGCTTTTGTCACCTCTCGCCTCCAAAAAACCAGTCGTTCGTCAGTCTTCCGTGAAGGCAAAAACGTAAATGGATCACTAAATCCCATTTGTTCATTTCTGAGAACTCAATTTCCCCGTTGAAAGGGCGAAAAAAAGTCCAAAGCCCTTCTGATTCCTCGCTCCCCGGCTAATTGAGTTGGCCGAGGTGGGGGAGGTGAATTGGGGTGTCAACGGGTGCGTGTGCGCAAAAGGATTGCTGCATGCGCCGCTGCAATGAACATATAGTTCGGGCGTCAGCCGTTTATCAGTCCGGCGCCACAATCCTGGGAGACCTCCGCACAGTCCCTCCGCATGTTCGAAACCGGCTAGGTTTCCTCCCCTCGTTGGATTACGTCAATTCTTGTGCATTATGGTAATTATTAACTATTGATATAAATTCATCTCCCTTTCCCTCCATCGCCCCCCCCGCATTCGAATAATCCCTCCAATCCAATTATCGAATTCCAAGGCTAAACAATTTTACGATTTTTCGGATTTAATTAACTACTTTCAATCAATTTAAAACAGAAAAAAAATTGTTTCACTCTCGTTCGGGTAATTAAATATATTCGGTTAATTATCATTATCATTTTCGCGTATTATATCGCGTGTGAGAGGGTGGAGCGTGGGAAAACGTGGCAAGATCGATCGGCCAATTACCTCTGAATTTCAGTTTTATTTTCTAAAAATTGAATTTTTTTTTATTTCAATTTTGGTGAATGTGGCTAGGGGATTTTGGGATGGGGACAATTTCGAAATTCGGAATGTCTGGATTTTCGAGTGAGGAAAGTCGCTCTCGGGATCAGTGGATACGGCGGAGGCAGTAGAAAATGCCCGTTGGTGGGCGCCACCATCCAGCGCAGGATTATTTATTGAGTGTGGGAGTGTGACGCATGAGGGGAAGGGAGGGATGAGGAGGTGATGGTATGATCTCGGGAAATATTAATTGTCTTGATAAGTAATATTGACAGGGGTAATTATCCTTTCAGCTGATAATAATTGCAATACGTTTTTAATATTCAATATTTAATTAAGGGACTTGTCGGTTGAGTATTTAATGAGTTTGGAGAGTGATGGGGTGAATCAACCCTTAAAGATAGGATGAAATACTCGATCTAGCCGTTTTGTATCTAGGGGATGAAATAAGTCGACTCTAGGGTTGATGCGTCAGAATAGAAATTGCACAGATTCAAATAAAGAGAAGTAACATGAAGGAGATAGAGAATTTAATTCCGTTCAAATGGAGAATTTATTGAGTGTATGACGCATGAGGGGAAGGGAGGGATGAGGAGGTGATGGTATGATCTCGGGAAATATTAATTGTCTTGATAAGTATTATTGACAGGAGAAATTATCCTTTCAGTTGATAATAATTGCAATACGTTTTTAATATTCAATATTTAATTAAAGGACTTGTCGGTTGAGTATTTAATGAGTTTGGAGAGTGATGGGGTGAATCAACCCTTAAAGATAGGATGAAATACTCGATCTAGCCGTTTTGTGTTTAGGGGATGAAATAAGTCGACTCTAGGGTTGATGCGTCAGAATAGAAATTGCACAGATTCAAATAAAGAGAAGTAACATGAAGGAGATAGAGAATTTAATTCCGTTCAAATGGAGAATTTATTGAGTGTATGACGCATGAGGGGAAGGGAGGGATGAGGAGGTGATGGCATGATCTCGTGAAATATCAATTTTTTTTTTTTGCCAAACCGCTTCCACAAATTGTCTTGATGAAAATTATATATAGGGAGTAATTATTTCTTCATTTGATAATAATTGCAATACATTTTCAATATTCAATATTTAATTCAAGGACTTGTCGGTTGAGTATTTAACAATGAGTACAGAGAGTAATGGGGATGAATCAACTCTTAAAGACAGAATGAAATACTTCATCTAGCCTTTTGGGTCTAGGGGATGAGATCATTTGAATTTTATTCTGTTCAAATCGAGAATTTTATTGGATTTACATGCGTCACCTCTCTGGAAGTAAATTTCCGCTAAAAGTTCACTCCGCGAAATAAATAATGCTACTCTCTTGACATTCAAGGGCTACTGGACTCAATAACACTAGTTCAATATCAATTGCAATCGATCCTCAAGGGAATTATTTCCAATTCAAGAGTAGCTCTTTCTCGATGACTTATGACTTGATGAGATTCAATCTTGTGAACTGCAGAATTAAATAAAATCATACATAATATGATTATGATTTATTTATGGTTATATGATGATTTATCATCAAGTCCTTGGGCAGGAAGAATCATTCTAAAATCCCCATCTCATGATTTAATTCATAAACAAATCCTTTTTTCATTAAATAAAGAAATCCCTCATGAAAAATGTTGGGTTCATCACAGGAAAATATTTCTTCATTTCTTAATTCAATTATCCAACTCTTAAACCTGCTGACGCCGACGTCGCTACTCCAATCTGCAGTCATCTCTAGTGTTGTCAACTCTTCCGTCATCACCTAGTGTTACCATTAAATCAGTAGCGAAGTGGTAAAACGGTTTAACTCGACTCCTCTCCCAGTTGAGTTTTGTAAGAAAATATTTCCGAATCTAAGGGAGATAGCGAAATTTTCATTACTACATTTATTGTAGCTCTCAATCGGCTCTACAAAAAATGTCGTAACAAAAATTTCGCCATCTCCCTCAGATCCCGAGATATTAATTGAAAACAGGTCAGTAGTCAAAATTGACTCGTACCGTTTTGCTGCTGAAGTCATCTCCACAATGCGCACCCCATCCCAAACCCCCAGTTTAAGAGCTCTCAGCAGACAGCTCGTCCTCCAAATATTTCAGGTGCTAGCGGACCCAATAGCCGACCCCACCCACCGCGAGTCCCTCCTGAACGGCAACCCCGAGTCCATAGTGATCTCCAACTTCTCGGACAACGAGACAGTGACGTACTCCCTGGTCCTCCTCCGCGGCAAGGCCCCGCTGCTCTGCTCCTACATAAACATCAGAAGCCGCAAGAATACAGTGGCAGAATGGCCGATCGTGGCGGGTGAGTTCCGCATCCTAGTGGACCTCTCCCGGGGTGAAAACAAACTGGAGCTCGAGGCCGGCGGCATAAAGCGCCGGCTCACCCTCATCCACGAGCCGCGAACGACACGATTGCGCGTCACCCCGGTGTACGTCATCTGCGCCGGCCACGACGGCTACTTCCAGGGGCCCAAGACCGAGGACAGATCGCCGGAGAGTGCGGCCACGCGAATCGGTCTGGGCGCGAGACTCCTGCAGTGCCTGACAGCCGAGAAGATGAGGGAGGCGGGACACGGCAGGAAGACCTTTCAACTCGAGAGGGACTTGGACGGCCCCGAGTGCCTGGTCATGCACAGCATGCTGCACGTGGACAAAGCGAGGGCGATGAACCAGAGGGAGCTCTGGGAGTTCGTCGGGCGGGAGCTGATGACGGGCCCGCTGGCGTCGAGGGACAGGAAGTACCTCTCGTTCCTCTCCTGCACGAGGTACAGGGGGTACTCGTCGGGATCCCCGAGGATACCCACTCACGAGTCAACGCTGGCCAGGACTCAGGGGCATGCCGCACTGGGGGGAGGCGGGCTCGCCTTGTTCGGGTCGGCCTGCCTCCACACGTGGCCCACGTGTCTCCCACAGGTCATTTGGCATTTTAATAAAATCAGTTTTATTTATTACAGGCATCACAACAGACATCGTATCGTTCCATGACTCAATCATTAATTTACTGCCTCGCACTGAGAGAACAAATTATTCCTGCCAAGGATTGATATTCTCGTCGGAAGATAGGGGAGGATGGGGCAAAACGGCCCCCCTTCAATCGTCAATATTTTCCGATTCAATAATCCGATTGGGATGAGTTAGAGCTCGTTTTGAAGAATGAAAAATTATCTTGAAACTGGGAATTTTCACAATGTCATTCACAAATTATTGACAATTAAAGGGGGGCCGTTTTGCCCCACCCTCCCCTAATATTTTTTCAGAACGAATTTTTCCAGGACAGTCATTTTCAGAGAGTCCAAGTCTATCCTCAAAAATTACAGTGATGTTGAACAATCTGATTATTATGCTACATATGACCTTGACAAAATGTTCTCCGATATCTTTCGGATTTTACAAATGGCGATTTTCTCAGGTAAAGAAAATTGGAATAATTCCAAATGTTAATAATTATTATTGGAGTTTCTTCGAGGTCATATGCAGAAGAATATTCTTATAGATCACCATAATTCTCACGCTTGGAACTGATTTCGGAGCACCTGGAAATGACTGGCCTGGAGAAATACGTTCCAAAAGAGATATTTTCTTCTACTAAGAGTATGAAAAAGATATCACCAATAACATTTTCTTGGAAGGAATAAATTTTTTTCTCAGTGCACCAGCTGACTGCAGTGTCGGAATGATACGAGATTTGTTCTGACAGGTTCTCAAGAAGTTCCTGGATACGACGATCGTCGACACAGATCAGCTGATGGACGACAGCAACTACAGGGGAACACACGGGGGGTGCCTGGCCACGACTCTAGGCTCTGTTCTCCACGAGCTTGGGCACACCTTCGACCTGGGGCACACCAGGGAGGGCATCATGGGGCGGGGGTTCGACTACGTTGATAGGGTCTTCGTGGGTGGAACTGGGGTGGACTCCAACAAGAACTCAGTGAGGAGGGACCCTCAGCACACGACGATTGCCATCAGCCGGCCTCTGAGTGTCACTGTCACCGTTCAGGAGCAGATCAGCAGCCCCAGGAGGGGGCGACTGCTCTCTGAGACCTCCAGACCTTCGCAGTCTAGTCCGCATTTGGCGCAGGAGCCTGGGAGACACAGTGGGAGGCTCTCGGCTCCGGCCAGTCCCGAGTTGAATCGATCGTTCTCGAGGTCTCTGGCTCATCATCAGACTCCTCTGCCCGATAGAACTTTCTGGGGGGCTTCGTGCGCTGGCATTCTCGCTTATCATCGGTGGTTCAATCCCTCGGTCGACAACTCTTACAGCAGGGATATTCATGATAATCGGGATATTGGGTATGATGCCAAGAGGTGAGATTTGATATTTTTTGGTTGGCGGATTGCTTTTTCGAAATTTCCAGGACAAAACCTCTCGGAGAAAACCTCCCCGGAGGAGGGATTTTTCAATTTTTTATATCAGTTTTTCGTTTTTCTTTGGAAAATTGAACTGATATTTTTTTTTTGTCTGAAAGTTCAATGAATGTTTAATGAAAAATATTACACACGATTTTTTTTTGCTTCTTCAGAATCTCCCTTTTTCGAAATTTCCAGGACAAAACCTCTCGGAGAAAACCTCCCCGGAGGAGGGATTTTTCAATTTTTTATATCATTTTTTTTTCTTTTGAAAATTGAACTGATATTTTTTTTTCTGAAAGTTCAATGAAAGTCTAATGAAAAATATTACACACGATCTTTTTTTTGCTTCTTCAGAATCTCCCTTTTTCGAAATTTTCAGGACAAAACCTCTCGGAGAAAACCTCCCCGGAGGAGGGATTTTTCAATTTTTTATATCATTTTTTTTTCTTTTGAAAATTGAACTGATATTTTTTTTTCTTTCGTCTGAAAGTTCAATGAAAGTTTAATGAAAAATATTACACACGAATTTTTTTTTGCTTTTTCAGAATCTCCCTTTTTCGAAATTTCCAGGACAAAATCGCTCGTAGAAAACCTCCCCGGAGGAGGGATTTTTCAATTTTTTATATCAGTTTTTCTTTTTTTATTTGGAAATTGAACTGATATTTTTTTTATTTGCAAAAATGAAATTTTCACCGTTTTTTTTCATTTTTAAAATTCTTATTTTTAGGTTTGTTTTTTGGTTTCTTTTTGTGTTTGAAAAATTGGGGTGAGAAAATCTCTCCGAAAAATCGCACAGATTTTTACAGAAAAGTCGGGAGAGAGAGAGATTGGGCGTTTTTTTTTGTTATGAAATTTTTATTTGTAATCAGTCTGTTCTTTTGGTACATGGAGATTGGTTTTGTGAGGGACACCAGTCTTTGAATTATTTGAAAATATTTTTTGGCGAGGATTTTTTTGATTTACACAAAAGGTCGCCTGATGTATTGTCCAAATTCATGAGTTTAAAAAATATGAAAAATTTTCAAATGAAAAATATTTTGTTTGAAATTTTTTCAGAAATGCCATTGACCTCGAATGAATTTCTACATTCTTTTGCAAAGATTTTTTTAATAAAAGAGGGCTTGGAAATTTTTTTTTCTAGCTTAGAAAAAAAAAATTTGCAGACATGTGAGATCTAGATTTGGTGTTTCAATTGTTATGAATTTTTTATTTTTAATCAGACAACAATCTTTGAATTTTGCTGTCCAAACCCATAAATTTCAAAAATATTCAAATGAAGTTTCTATCACTTAAAAGAGACTTCTTCAAAAATGCAATAGAATAAGCTACTGTCCAATCTATTAAATTTAAAAATCTTGTGTCTAAAAATCTAGAATGAATTTCTCGATTACTTTGCAAAGACTTTTAAAAATATTAAATTATCCACCAAAAGAGGCTTTGGGAAAAGTTATCTTAGTCCAGAAAAAAATATTTTCCAGAAATGTCGTGAGATCGCGATTTGGCGTTCGAGTGATGGAGCTGCGTGAGTCATCAGGAGGAATGGTAGTGAATTCTCGACAATTCCCCGGGTCTCGTCCACCCCTCGAGGCCCTGGTGCCCCTCCCACCCCCACACTGTCTCTCTCCCCTAACAGTATTCGCTGAGGACTCCGTTGGCAACATTCTAAAGCATCCACTTCCAACTGCCTTCTGAAAATCAAAAGTACTCGAGTTACAATCGACTTATTAACCCTCGCAGTTTTCAATTAATTTACGAGAGAGAGACCGAGGTCTACTTGGAACTTACGCTGTGCGTTATTTCCATACGATATTTTTTTAAAGAGTTAACGATTTTACGTTTGCTTCTGGCTTATGCTTGGGAATTCACAAGTTATCGAGATTCGTATGCAATGTATGGAGCGAATTCGAGGGGCATAATTAATCAATCAAAATTGGTATTTAAGGGAAGAGCAATTGTACTGATTGGGGGATGTATTTTTTTGAAAAAACGCCACGAAGTGGTTTTTCAAGTCTTGTTGAGTGGGAAATCATTCGAGATGTCATAATTCAGGGGAAACTACTATAATTTTTTGAAATCGTGGATCTTTCAATTGAAGTTTTTCATATCATCTATTTTTATTTGTCATAAACAAATTACTTCTTCGATTTTTTACGAAAGGGATTAAAAAAGAATTTCAAACTCCCCTTCAAATTGTTTTTAGAGACAAATGGATTTGTTCGCGAAGAAAAGAAATTCTTAAAGGAAAAATTTGATATCTCATGATTTTGTTAAATGATCCTACAATAATCAATGATTTTTTCAAAATAACATTCACTTTTTTCCCGCCTGAAATGCATTTTATCACAGGAAAAAGCTCAATTCAGTCTCTCCCCTCAACAAGATTCGAAAGATCGACTCGTTCCACGAAGTTTTGCCACTTCACCGCTGAATTAACTCGAAGGGAATCTATAATCGATATGAAAAAAATCATGAGGCCTATTAATTTTCTAGTACAAACACTTCTAGAAGAACTGATCGATTGAAGTGACGCATTTAGATTGAAACGACCAAATGGAAACGACTTCTGGTGGCTCCAACTGAGGTTTTGCATGAATTTTTCTTTCGTCTGAAAGTTCAATGAAAGTTTAATGAAAAATATTACACGCGTATTTTTTTTTTTTCAAAATGAAACAATGCGTGCAATTTTCGTATTTCATCATTCCATTCAATGGAAAAATTCATGCAGAAACCCAATTGCAACAGTGAAACGTGATATGACTTCTGCTAGTCCATAAAATTGTACATTACTGATCACATGTACAGTATTATTTCATAAAATTATTTTAATAACATGATAACACGACAGAATAGTGATAGTTGTATGAATGACAATACAGTATTCTAATAACGAATAATTACACGTACGAAAAAAAATTGTTAAAAAGCTTAGCATAATCGTTAGAAAATTCTATTGGATTTCTATTGAACTTTCTTCATCTTTGGTCAATTTTATTATAAAATTGATTATAAAAATGCACCTATCGGTGCATTTGTACAAACAGAAATTTTCAGTAGAAAATATTCTGTAAAAAAAGTCCATAGAAATTAATTTTTCTGCATAAATTATTCTATTGATCTATTTTGTATAGAAATTCCTTGGCCCCAATTTTTCAAGTTTTTTGTTTGACTCTTTTAATGACAAAAGAAGAAAAGAAAAGTGAAACAAACTTGTAAAAATTTAAAATCGGAGTCTCAACAGAAAAAGTTGGATAGAAAAGTGAAATTCTGTAGATTTTTTTCTACACAAAAATTTCTATTTAACATTTGTTACTAAAAAAAATAGAAATCCAATAGAAATTCCTAACAAATTCGCCAGTTTTTTCAATGAATTTTCTTCGTGCGTGTACGACTAATCAAATGGCTTATTTGATTGTAATTCCAGTACGAAATGACTAGTAAACTGCATTTTCCAGACTTTTGGCACTACATCAAACGGTTTGAATACTCTACCTGAGTTACTATCATCATAACAGTGATTAATGAATAATAATATTTGTATATCATTATATAAATAAATACCAACATCATATTACTTCGCTCTGTACCTTCCACTGTTATTTTAATGATTTGGATTTTGTTTTGAATTATCTTGTGACAGCTCAGGGACTTGTGAACCGAAATCACAATGCCTGCACCGAATCTCTGCATCAAGGGGATTAAAATCCACAGGCATTTACTCAAGTATATGTTTCCGCAAGTCATTGATGGACAAATTGACACGATTAAGTTTCTCAATGCTTCGCGAAACGTCATGCAAATCATCGGTAATTCAATCATTTTCAATTCAACTGGATTCAGAGGAAAAAATCCCTTGTGATTTTTCTCGAAACTATTTCTGTTTAAATATTTTTCCCAAAGTAACCGGAAAATTAGTCCAGATTTTTATCAATTAATTATTTGCTAATGCGACGAATTGATCACTATAACTAATAATTGCGTGATTTCTAGATAAATTTGGAAAGGTTTTTGCGGCCCTAAAGTATGATATGCTGAACAACATCGAGGTAAAGAGCAAAAATTAATTGAGGATTATGAAATTAATTAAGTCTTCATTTTTAATCGTTAAAAAATATATTTTTCTCAATTCAACTAGTAAAATTCGGTTATTACTACTTCTTCTTCTCATAAATATTTTCTAAACAATCAATTTTTTTACAAAGTTAACTACTTAAACAATTCATTCGTCGAGGGAGTGTTGAAAAATGTTTTTTGTTTTTTGCAAAATGTAATTTTTTTACATAATTTAATTGACGAATGTACAGCATTGAAAATCGCATCCTCAACGACTAAATGTCGTAACATAGTCGTATTGGACAATTATAGAAAATCTCCCAGAGGTACAACATTGACAAAATCAGTCATGCGACACTTCAGAATTTGATTCTGATGGAGAAGAAGACAGGGAAGAATGCGGTTGCTGCTGATGCTCTACTCTGGCTCGCCAGGTAATTCCTGAAGGGAGGGCGGGGCAAAATGGAGGACTTGACATTTCCCGACATTCTTCATGAAATGGAATAATTTCATGAAATTATTTCATGAAATTATTCCATTTGAATGTTGATGTTGATGACTCATTGAATTCTTGATGAAATGGAATAATTTCATGAAATTATCCCATGACATGGAATCATTTCACAAAGAATGGAATAATTTCATGAAAAATTTCATGAAGAATGGAATAATTTCATGAAAAATTTCATGAAGAATGGAATAATGTCATGAAATTATTCCATTTCATGTAGAATTCAATGAGTCATCGACATCAACATTCAAGCAAAAGTCAAAAGTGTATTTTGAACAACTCGCCCCTGATAACTTTCAAGTAATTACACGATTGAAATTGCTGGGATTATTCAGAGAATTGAAGATGATTCAGATCCTGTTTGATAAGATGATTAAAGCTGAGAGGGCGAACGTGTCCATTGAGGATCTTGGGCCGAAGATCAGTGAGGCGTATGTGGAGGTCATGGGTACACATGAGTGGATGGCGCAGCAATTGTTCTCAGTATTTATACCCCTGCAATTATCCCTCATCTAATTGAATTGGCCACTAAAATGTGCTCCAGTAAAATTTTAATATCCCTTGAAACTGCGATACGAATTCAGTAAATTTGATTTAACTTTAAAGTTAAAAACAATTTGTTGAATTCCATTCAGCAGAACTGTTACGAAAAAAAATGAAATTTCAGGAACATTTTAGTAACAATTTTCAGGAGAGCAACATTAAATTCCATTTGGAGGAAAAAAATCAAGGAATGTCAGATTTCACTGAAAATTCAATGAGATTCAAAATTTTCGCGAATCAAGAAGACGAGAATTCTTCAATTCACTTGAGTTTTCACTCATAATGTGAACATTAGTACAAAATTACGGAATTTCTCTGATTTTTATTCATTTTCATGGCATAAATGAGCTAAAAATTACAATCTCCAGTCATTTTTCAATCGCATTTGAACTTTGTAGTGAATTTTGAACAAAACCCCTTGAAATTTCAGCCGAAAATGGTTCACAAAAATTGATAAATTCATATTTATTCAGCTATTGGCAAAAACGCCCCCCTCGCGCACCCAAGTGCTCCTATCCCTAGCTGAAAACACTCCAGGAGTTGAGGAGACAACGATAAACACCCTGGACATAATCTCCAAGCAGTTGCAATCGAATCTGATAATTCTGAAGAGTTTTTTGTACGACAACGACATCGGACATGTACTATAAAATTAAAAAATCGAAAGCTACCGAATAAAAACGCCCCTGAGACGGATTTACCTCAGCAGCAATTGACTCCTCAGTACTTGTTATCAATCCCACACAGCTGGGACATGTAAAACCTCTTGGAGTGATGCTCTGCGATGTTCTTCAGGGCCATCGTCCCACTTATTATCTCAGCAATCACCAGGACAATCATCAGGCCTGTGGCCATTCTCTCAATGAGAAATAATTGCATATTGTCGTCCCAGAACGTGAACATCATCAGGGGAAATTGAAGGAGAGTCGAGAGTAGCCAGAAACTGGCCAATTCAGGAATCTATAAATTTCAATGGTCAAAACTCCCATTTCTTTTCTTTAATTAATAATTTAACGTACGAAAAAATTAGTAAAAAAAAACAATAGGATTTTCGAGTGCATTTTCTACAAAAAATTGATTGAATGTCTATTCATTTTTCTAAATGGGAAAATACAAAATATTTTGAAACATTTTTATTTTTATTTTCTTCGAGAAAAAATCAATACATTCCCATTTTTCTATGCAATGTCTTATATTTAAATTGTTTCTGCAACAATTTTCAGTCCAAAAATGTGTAAAAGTTATCGAATAAATGAATAAAATATAATAAAATATCAATAAAAAATAATGGAATGAATTGCACAGAAAAATGAAGATCTGTCTGTTTTTTAAATTAAAAAATGCACTGGGTTTTCTATTGTATTAAATTTTTTCGTGCATATCAACCTGTTCAATTACCTTTTCAACTAAATTCCCGAGATATCCGAACCACAGTCTGAGGCATTCCAGTGTAGAAATTGTGATGTATAGCGTCACAGTAATAAATTTATAGAGACTACTCAAATAATAATACTGAAAGAACAACAGGAAAAGAATTAGCTGCAGAGGTGAACGGAAATCGGGACAAAAAGGACATTTTCGATCCATTCTGCCCCACAACGAATTAAGTATGGGAATTTAACAGGTGATTGCACCGACCTTTGCGTCTATTCCTAAAAAAATAACGAGAAACCATACTGGAAAAAGCCAGAGGTTGAAGTACAGAGCCATTTGCAGAGGCAAACTAGACTTGATGATGTTCCCTGTCACGATAATTAGAATGTAGAGGCGACTCCCCTTCATTAACTTCTTTATTGTTGATTATAAATATACGTACCAGCATCGTAAAACTGTTTTTCCCGGTCGTGATAAATTAGCCCTGGAAAAATTCTATCAGACGCTGTGATGACTCTTGCTTTCCACATTCTTGGGACCTGTTGTTGTGAAGAATTTTTTAAACAATGCAATAATGCAAATAATGAATTTTTTAAACAATGCAACGATGCAAACAATGGAAATTCTTATCGTTTCTCTTCATCTTCAAAGTGGGATTTTTTATTTTGACAATCGAGTAAACAAACGCTCCATTTAGTATTGACAGGTGCGGTGCAGGTGTTTATATATGTGGATTTACAAATTACGACGAGTGCGTGGGTGTGAAATGGCGCGAGGTTTCAAATAGAATGGGATGGATGACGAGGAAAAATATAAGGAAATGTTCTTTGAATTAAAAAAAAATTGTTTGAATTATCGAGGAGAGATTGTCTAGGGATTTTCAAACGGTTTTGAGGAGAAAAGTGGAAACTTTGTGTCAAAACAGTAAATTTCATTTGTAAATAATTCACTAACGTGAAGGAATGTTTGTTATTCGTTTATAATTTTCACGTGAGAGATGAGTTTTTAAGAATTCTGATAAAATTGGTATTTGTTTTTTGTTAATTCTTTTTGTTGAAATTGTTATTTGTTTTCTAAATTACGAGATTGCCTGGAAATTTTCCGATGGTATCGCTTTCCGATGAGAGTGAAAACTTTTTATCAAAAAAAAAAATCAATTTTGTTTATAAATAATTTTTTATGATGAACAAATACTTTTGATTCTTCAAAAAAAATTGATGTACGGTATCCGAGAACATGAACATTATCAGGAATCTATGACTAAACTATAATTCAGGAATCTATGAATTTCAATCATAAAAACTCCCATTTCCTTTCTCTAATTAATAATTCAAATCAATCATTCAATTTTGTTTGTGAATAATTTATTGACATGAAGGAATGTTTGCTATTCTTTCATGATTTTTACGTAGGAGAAGAGTTTTTAAGAATTCCGTAAAAATATTTTTTGAGACTGAAGAGCGCAAAGTCCACTATTATTATTGGGTTAGCATGCTTATTTCTCTAAATTAAGAGGGATTGCCTAGAAAGTTACCAAAGGTGCCATACAATTATTCATAAACAAAACCCTCAATTTTGTTAACAAATAATTTTTTATGACGAATGAAAATTTCTCATTCTTCCACAAAAATTGACATTTTTCATGGCTAAAGATGAAAAAATGACAATTATTACTGCACAGTATTTTCTCTAAAATGATGTTCAATTGAAAATTCAAGTCTTTTCGGCGATCCCTCCCCAAAAAACTATCAAAACTCCATTCATTTCTGAATCAATTTTTATTTAAATTTATTCTTCTCCATAAATTACAGCAATATAACATAAGATTGTTAGAACCTATGATAAACGTCGAGGTAATACAACATCGGCCCCGAAATGTCCGATCACTTCTCCTTCGACAAGACCGCGACCGTCGCAAATTCCCCCTCTGCACAAAAAAAAAATCATTTAGCAACTACTGAGGTCCGCTTGCTATCGTCAACGGGAAGAGAAAACTCGTAAACCACGGATCAATGATGAATAAACGTAAGAAAAAAAGCAAAACCCTATTGTCCTCCGATAATCTATGAAATTCAAACCGCACTGCAGTTATCAACAGCTGTCCAATGTTGAGTACGCACTAAGTACAATACAATTAATTCAGTCTTTCATAAAACTACGCAATTTCCCATGACACTTCGTCACTCATCGTTCACGCTTTCTATTAAAAAATATATGTAATATGATTTCACTGTTCGTTGATGTGTCAATTGCTGAGAGTTGAACTGTCATTTCACAGAGAAAAATCATTAGTCAATTGGATGAAGTTCATTGACGAGTTAATTCATCAACAGGAATCCATGTTCACCCCTCGAACAATTTTCACAATTTATAAACTACTATCAACCACTCGGAAATTTTTACAAAACGAAGAACTAAAATCACAGAATCTGTTGTCTCTATTCGTTTAATCGACTGATTTCGAGGAAGGATATTGTACAAACTATTGACATGACTTTTGTCAACGACTAGGATGATTAAATCTGTTGTGAAGTGGCCCACAACGTGTCAAATATCATCTCTCGATGATTAATCACGAAATGCCTTAGTCAGATCTCTCGATATTTTCGTCTAAAAACCCCTCACGATGTGCACAATTTCGTTCCTCCACTTCACAACAATATTTTCAAAAAATCATTCACAATCATCAATTACCTCCAAGTCCCCACGAATGCGCAAAATTAAATATGGAAGAAATTACGTGAATGAGCCCAATGGATTCATTGAAAAATGATCCTGTACTTTCTGAATAGTCCCAATCAATCACATTTAATCACAGCACATTCCCAGATCATCCCCACAGTCATATAGTAACATAGCCCAATATCCTCGCATAAATTAACATTCTCGTAATACTTTTATGATAAAATCCTCGATTTTCTATACAGAAGTTATGTACAACATAAATAAAGCTGACTGGACAACGAATCTACGAGTAGATTCTACTGTAACTGCATTATTTACACGAGATAAATCATTTTCTCTTCGATTACCCTCGGTTATCTCCCCAGACATTCTGAAGCTCTTTGTGAAGTAGTGAAATCCACAAAGAATCTACAGATTATTATGCAAATTTTTTTAAACGATAAATTTATCGAGAAAAATGTTTTCCAGAGAATTTAGGAACTGAATCAATTTTTGAATTGAGTAAAAAATAGTTTTCATCTCCTCACGCATTTCACAGCTCTTTGATGAATTAGTGAAACGTCATTAATTCAAACTATCAACACCTGTGTGTGACACTAGCAAAAGACAAAAGACTTTTAGGGAATTCCCCATTTTTCTCTTGATGCTCTCCATTAGTTCCAGAAATAAAAAAAAATGATTTGAATATGAATGAAGTCCACAAAGAATCAGCAGATTATCGTGCAAATATCTTTGAATGAGGTAACTTTATCAAGAAACATGTTTTCCAGAGAATTTAAGAAATGAATAAATAAATAAAGTCATGAATGAATCTTTTGAATAGAATAATTCAATTCACGACGTTTCACCACTTCCACCCTGAACCTCACACATTCCAAAGCTCTTCAATGAAGTAGTAAAACGTCATAATTCTAACTATCAACACCTGTGTGTGACAGTAGCAAAAGACGTTAAAAGACTTTTAGGGAATTTCCCATTTTTCTCTTGATGTTCTTCATTAGTTCCAGAAACATAAAAAAAATCATTTGAATCTCAATAACGTCCAGAAAAAATCAGCAGATTATCGTGCAAATATTTTTGAATGGAGTATTGAATGGAGAATTTAAGAAATGAATAAATAAATAAAGTCATGAATGACTCTTTTGAATTGAATAATTCGACTCACGACGTTTCACCACTTCAACCCAGATCAACCCTCGAGAAACCTCTCTGAAATAAATTCACGTCTAGGCATCCCCTAGGCAAGTTCACGCTTTCGCTTGTTCTCCGCGTAGAACTGAGTGCTCTTGCCAGTGCCGGTGGGTGTCACTTGGAATTGTCTGGTGAGAATGAAGACAACAGCCTCATAAGTCGCCATCATAATAGCTGTGTTAGGTATTTGGCGCACAAGCTGGGTGGCGAGACCCCTGTAGAGGCCCCTTGGGCCCTCCTCCGTGTAAACGACATTCAGTGTCTGCCAGAATGTTCGGTACTTGGTGCCTTCCTCCCTCAGCCTCGTCCTTGCCACTTCTACAATGAACAAATGGAAATTTAAATTTGTGGAAAACCAGACGAGTAGTTTTTCCTCTTTTATATTAATATAATAATTAAAAGGACATTTTCTTCAAGTGTTTTTTACCTAATAGGAAGCGAAATATTTTTATTTATCTTATTGATGTTTGAAAGATGTCGCGAGAATTCCTTTATAAACAAACAATGTGAGAAAGAACGAGGACATTTGCTTTGTTCGTCCCCTAAATATTTGAATTGCCTGATTGTTCATTAAAAAACGTAATTCTCCTTCAAGTTCTATTCGAATAATTGAAAGAAATTGCCAACAATTTTAGTGAAACATGGAAAAATCAATATTACAGCAGTATAATAGTCTTTTTAATAAAATATATTCGTGCCAAGAGTTCGATCAAATCGAATTTTCAATTGGTGAAACTCACATGACTTTTGTTCCTCTTTAATCTTATTTTTTTCTTCTTTTATTTCGCCAAGTATATGTTTCATCCATTAAAAACAACAGCCAGTAAAACCCTCTTATTCATCTCAACAATATTCGACAAATGTCCCGAAAATTTGTAAACAATCTTTAAGGAGAAAACATAATTTTTCACGAGTTGAATTCGAAAAAACGTCTCATAATTTTGTCATTTCAAGAAAAATTGAACTAATATTTCTCTGACATCCTCATTCAACACAAAAAAAATGTTTTTACATATTTATACTCATATTTAATGCAGTGGCAGATGTAAAACGAAGAAGTACTTTCGCAACATCAATGACATGGCTAAAATTCCCGAACCCATTGACATTTCGATAAAAATGATAACGGCGATATCTCCCAGATTAACTGAATCGCGAGACAATCGCCCTGGAAACCCCACACGGAACAACTGATATTTTGGAAAATATATAAAAAATAACTTAAATTGGCCCAATTTATATTTAAAAAATATATAAACTATATGGAGAAATGTAAGAAATGTAAATAATACAAAGTATGATCAAAAAGATATGTAAAAGGAGAAAAGGCTAGTGGAAATATAAAACAATGAGAAAATACCCTTTGTAACATTAACAGAAATAAATTCTAGTCTATTCTATTCTATTCTATAAAATATATGGCCTATATATATTCTTTATATATTCTTTATAAGTTTGAAAAATATATGGAATTGGCCCATATTATATATTTTTTAAATACATTTTTTGATGGGGGACGTCGCAGGTCGTCCAGATTAATAAAAAATGCTCACTTTAATCTAGAGCCGCAATACGTAATTACCCAGAGGGGGAGGGCTTAGGTGGCTGGCATTCGTTCTTATACCTATATAAAGATTCTATGTTTAGTCACAGTGAGTGAATTTAATTGGCTGTCCTCAAGTGGCCCGGGGTTCACCAGTCTCAGTGCGTCAATAAACCAGCCAGAGGAATAAAAATTCGAGATGATAAAAACGCAACGAAGTAATGACGCACTCAATTATTGCAATCACCAATGTTTATGTTATTATTTCAAGTTACGTAATGACTCACCATGTGGATAAGCAATGCACGATGCAACGGTTTTAGACATGGCTCCTGCTGCCATAAATTCAATAAAATCACGTCCCATTTTTGAGCCATCGTTGTCTGTTGGCACTCGCGATCTGTGCGTTATCAGCCAGGCTTTAACTGCTTCGTAAATAACAAAGTGAACTACTGTTTCACTTATGCCAACGTACGAGGCCACAATGCCTTTGTAAAAGCCAAGGAAACCCTGAAAATAATGTTGGGGCTTGTGAATTTTTTTATTTGTTGGGCAGGATTTGTTTTTCTTGGCGGGGCGGGGGACGAAATTCTAATTCAATTGATAGTGAGATGTTAATTCTGCATTTTGCGACTTTGGATTGGTGTGAGGAGGTAATTACCCATGAAATTTTGAAGGAGCCGAACTTCTTGCTTAATTTCTTGTTTAGGCAACAATTTCGTTGGATTTTTTGAAAGGTTTTTCCTGAAATTTATGATTAGTTTCGTATTTTTTTGTTTTTGATTAATGTGTACCTCATTCATGTATTCATGTTTCAATTTTATTTACTGAGCAGGAATCCAACAAATTTGTCACAAAATTAAAAATAGTTTTGTTAGTGAAATGTTGAATTGAACAGATTTTATTTCACAGAAATAGTCTATTCAATGGTCAAGCTTGTTTATTCTACGCATGACTGGAGGACGTAATTCTAATTAAATTGACAGTGAGATGTTAGTTTTGCATTTTACTACTTTTGATTGGAGTGAAGAGCTAATTGCCCATGAAATTTTGAAGGAGTCGAACTTCTTGTTCAATTTTTTGGTCTAAGTAGCAATTTCATTGCAATTTTCTGTAATTGGGATTTTGTTTGACATTTATTATTAGATTCTTTTTTTTTATTAATGCGTCATTTACTTATATATTCATTTTTCAATTTTATTTATTAAACACGAACCCACTGGATTTCTCAAATTAAAAATTGTTTTATGGGCCTAATGTTAAATTGAACAAATTTTATTTCTTCAAAATTTTCAATTCGTCTGTTAAGATTGTTTATTCTATGCACGACTGGAGGGCAAAATTCCAATTCAATTGACAGTGAGATGTTAATTTTGCATTTTGTCACTTTAGATTGAAGTCAAGATCTAACTGCCCATGAAATTTCAAAGGAATCAAACTTCTTGGTCAATGTCTTGTTTCAGATAACAATTTCATCTGCAATATCTTCACTATCCCGATGGCTTGGCGCAGTGGGTAAGTTCGTTGTCTCACATGCGAAAGGTTCCAAGTTCAAATCCCGACCGGGTAGAATGGTGCGACTAACCATTTAAAGTCTCTTGATCATCATTGCAGTATACCCTAACCGGGTCGAAGCGATGTAAAATAACGATAAAAAAAAATATCTTCACTACAATATTGTACAATTGGCTTGGTCCACAAAATTCGTATTTTTAACGTTTATCCGTAATAAAAATTGAATTTACCATTTGGTAAATGCAACCCCTCACGAATACCCCCAAAACCTGGAGTCATCAAATGCTGATAACACCAAGAATAGCAAACTAACTCCATTGACATGTCATAGAAGTTACATTAACGGGTGGAAAGTTTTCGTCGTTCTTCTAATCAACAACACCTACCCATCTGGATACCCCTAAAACCCGGAGTCATCAAATGCTGATAACACCAAGAATAGCAAACTAACTCCATTGACATGTCATAGGAGTTACATTAACGGGTGGAAAGTTTTCATCATTCTTCTATTCATCAACATCTATCCATCTGGATACCCCTAAAACCCGGAGTCATCAAATGCTGATAACACCAAGAATAGCAAACTAACTCCATTGACATGTCATAGGAGTTACATTAACGAGTGGAAAGTTTTCGTCGTTCTTCTAATCAACAACATCTACCCATCTGGATACTCCCAGAACCTGAACTCATCATGCTGATAACAAAAAGAATAAAAAACTAGACCCATTGAAATGTCATAGGAGTTAACGAGTGGAAAGTTTTCATCGTTCGATCATACGCAGTTATTTAGCATGTACATACGCAACCACCTCGTCTTTACAGTGAAGCGAATAGGAATGACGAGGAATGTCAGAAAACGGCGTTCAAATCTGTGTTCTCAGATTAAATTACGAAGAATGATTGCATTATGAAGGAAATATTGTGGGGCCATTGGAGACAGTTCAGCAAGTGAGGTGGGAAGACTTGCGTGGAGTATGGCACGTTGCTGCGAGATATAGATAGCATCTGAAGGTCAATAAACGAAATTCTGAAGAGAATGACTCTTTGACATTCTCACGTTGCGCTCTAAACCCTTTTGCAAACATTTCTTGAATTATAAATTATGAAATTGTAAATTACGAGGGATGTTTTATTCGTGTGCCGTTGATTTTTCGGGGCTGATAGACTCGAGATAGTGTGATTGATGGTACGAAGAGTGCCCCACACGAAGCGATCGATACGTTATCGATTTATCACCGATTGACGCCTCCAGATGAAGAGATATAATTTTTGTAATGAAGCGTTAAAAGAGAGGGTCTTAAATTTAATTCGCGCACGGTTTAGAGGGAATTATCAGTGATTATTCAGTTTAGAGGGAAATGCCGAAGGTATTTATGCAGGTGACGGTGATTGTGATTTTGTGGCCTTCGATTAATTTATCTAAAGCTGTTGGTTTTGGAGATATTTCCAAAATTATTGTACTTGATTAGGTGAATGAAGTATAGGGATGTAGGCAGCGACGATATATGCACGATGTTTGTGCTCTGATTGCGCTCTCTGAGCCAACAATTTTCTATTTACGACGGACATGCTTATTTTCATAGAGGAAGCAACAATGTTAATGTCAACTATGGCTCAAGTGAATTGACGTGGAGTTCGGAATTGAATTTTTTGGGTGAAGTTGCGAACATTGCAGGAAATCTCGTCACACGAAACATGCACATCTCATTGATTTTCTGATAATTTTATGACAGTGCCAATGAAAACTCTAAATTTTGATTCAATTCTTATTTTAATAGACGCAAAACGATATTAGTGCCGGCTATGGCTTAAATTTCTACTTCCAGGGTTCAAAACCCAAGTTTATAACAGAGATATCAGACAAGATGTGAATGTTTTTTTGGGCCCGAGTGCAAGAGCGCGTCTCGAAACATAGTACAGATGATTCTAAGGATGATTGGTTGACACGTTGCGTATTGTACTACTGGCCGACCCTTATATCAATTTCTGCGTGTGGTAGTGCGAATAGCCACGGCGAAAAAAAATCCTTGAATAATAATGAATAAATGGGAAGAGGGCAACGCATCTTCTTCAATCAATGAAAATAATTGTGCATTCTCACCGATTGTTGATATATCCTCTTGATACAATCGATCGCTCTCGTGTGTTTTGCGTGGTGATCCAGTTGCAGCCTTGTTTTGACAAACCAAATGGGATTTGTCGCTGTAGATGCCACAAAGCCTGCAACAATTAACCGTTTCATCGTCAATTCGATCCAATCATTCACCTTAAGGTATATCTCTAGAAAACAGGTTTTTCTTACGATTGTGCCCATGTTTTTTACAGATAATATTTACAATATTTCCCAGGTGTTAAAGGAAATTCTAACTAGTTGTACTACGCAGTTCAGAAGATAATAAATAATGAAATGCGGGCTTCTCGGAATCCAAATAACGTTAAATTTTCCATTGATTGAAAATTTAAAAATATATTTACCTGAATTGACCAATTTCTATTAACGATTGTAGAATAATTGAACTGAAGTCTGGAGTTAATTCAGAACAAAATTCACTAAATCCACCAGTAAACAACTTCAAAAATTACAATTGTGCAATAAAAACGAATGCCCGATTGTTTTAGGAATTACAAAGAGAGTAAACAGAACGAAATAAGAAAAAAATCGAAAACATTTATGCAAATCCCAATAATCAAGTAATCACCCCTTTCCGAATGTTTAATCATCTCGAAAGAAAGAAGTTAATTCAGCGGAAAATTCACTGAATCTATCAGTAAACAATTTATAAAATTACAATCGTGCAAAAAAAACGATCGTCAGATTATTTAAAATGAATTAAACCGAACGAAAAAAAAAATTTAATTCAGGGGAAAATTCATTAAATCCAGCAGTAAATAACTTTTAAAATTGCAATCCCAGAATAAAAAGGAATGTCAGATTAAAAAAAATTAATTATCACGAAAAAAAAAAAGTTAATTCAGGGAAAAAAACGTCTGAAATTGCAATCCCATAATAGAAACGAATGTCAGATTTTGAAAAATGAATTACCAGAATAGTAAACCGAACGAATCAAGAAAAAGATTCCCTACAACTGCTGTGAAAACTCGAAACTGCAAATTAATTGAAACTGAATTCCCCCCGGCAAAGGGAAACGAGAGAGGAGGGGAGCCGGAAAAAATGTGTTCATGTGCACAGCAGTCCTGTCCATTCAAACAACATCACGTGATCAAAATTGCTAGCCACGTTTTCACTTAAAACCCATGGTCGTAGGCACTCGGTTAAAATCTATAAATAGAAAAAACAACCTCATGCAGACTGAGAATGTCGAACACAGGGACATGGGGACATGAGTGTGCTATCGAGGAAAATGACACAATGTTGAGAGAGGAAGTGCCAATAATCGCACAGCCGACTAACGAGAGTCAATGAGTTTCTAGTCAAGAATTAATACCCATTCATTATCTAATTCTCAATTTTTGTGAAATTTTGTTTACGATTTGAGGGAATTTTTTTTTCCAGGGGACTGGGGGAATGCGAGATAATTTATGCGGTGGGAGTTCATGCATTATTGCAATTTGATGAATACTTGCGCAGTGCAATTGCCTTGTTTACTGTGACACAATGAGAGGGGGTAAATATAGAATCTTGAGGAATGAGTGCCGCTGCACATTTTTGAAGGCGGAAAATTGTCATGTCGATATGAAGAGAGTGAAAGAGGAGAAAGTGGAAGGAATTTTCGTGCTGTGCAGCTGACGTTGGGGATTAATACAATTTTATTGATCATAAAATGAGGAAAATTTGTGATTTATCAAATCATTTTTGTAGGGAATATTTTGGAAAATGTTAAGTTTCTAGAGAAAAGTTTTGGTGATGAATAATTATAGGGGGCAGTATTTAATTGTCAATATCTCCCGACGAAACGATGCGATTTGAATAAATCTCGTCTCATTTTAAAGCTTGAAACATCTCTGAAATTAAAAAAAAAAAAATTTGCCTCAGCTGTTTGGGAGTTATTAATGATTAAAGCCGATTCGTTTTATCTTATAATCATGAATTGAATGAATAATAAGCGTCATCAGTAATGAGAATAATCTAATTAATAATTAAAAATTAATAATTATTTAATGGTTGAAGGAGACTCATAAAACCACGAAAATTCGATTCGTAATCCTTCAAATAATTTTTGTAAAAAAAAAACTCAGAAATGCTTGGGGCTAAAAATCCGAAATTAAGGGGACAATGTTCAATCCCCAATATCTCCTGACGAAACGAAGCGATTTGAAAAAATCAGGTCTCATTTTGAAGATTACAAAAATATCTCGAGAACGAAAAAAAAATAGGGGAATTCCACTCAGTCATTCTCGAGTTATCCCCGATTAAATCCAGTCGTTTTTATCTCGCAATCGTGTTTTGAATGAATAGTACGCGCAATCAGTAATAAAAACAGCTGAATTGATAGTTGTTTCAGGAAACCTGTATTTCTCTCTCAAATGTTTGCTCGCACTATCTATTATTAGCGACTTCCCTAATGATTCCCAGCGTCTCACGTTAAAATAACAAACTCTGAAGAGATTAATCCCAAGAAAAAAAAATCTCATCAATTTCTTCCTCCGAACAATGATTTATCGCGAATGAGAGAATGACTGGCAGTTCAACCGAGTGAATTGAGTGCGAATAAAAGACAAATGCTCACTCGTCAATATGAATCACCGACAGATCGTACGATTGCACAAGAGGTAATGTAAATTGCAGCCCTCCAATGATGACATTGGCTCCCCAGCAGAGAGTTGGCGTAGCGAAACACTCTGGGGGTCTAAGTTCAACTCCTCATTCGCTGGGTAGTCAATGTATTTGTCTCCGGAATACAATAATTCAAGACGCACTAACTGGACGCCACTTACATGGGTCGCGAACTGGAGCGATAATAAAGTACGTCACGATAATAGAGATCGTACGAGTATTTCTGCATTTTTTCCTTTTTCCTTTAGACGAGATATCGTTGGTGATAATGAAATTATCTGGGCGTGATAAAAATAGAAAGTTCGATGTTATGAAGAGATAAGAAGGAAATTGAAGGGGAAACGAGAGGAATGCAAAAATTTCGTGCAGAATTTTTTGACAATTTTTGACAACTTATTCTGGAAATTTCCATTTCAATGAAACAAATTTTTTTTTAAAATATAAATCGATTGTTTTTTGATCCACGTGAAGACTTCATGAGGTAGAAATGAAAGCATTGTAAAATAATTCATTATCGTAATAATCCTTCACTTGGATTAAATAACTCGTTTATTTCATTGCGATAGAGGATTTATTTAGAATGAATGAATTAATCAAAGGTTTTTATGAAATAAACATGGTTTTATCAATTTTCGAATATTTCTACGATTTTTTTTTTCATTGAGATGAGAGACATTGTTGGTGATAATGAAATTATCTGTGGGTGAAATAAGAACTGGCATGATAAAAATAGAAAGTTCGATGCTACGAAGAGATAAGGAGGAAATTGAAGGGGAAAGGAGAGGAATGCAAAAATTTCGGGAAGAATATTTTGTAAATTTTCAGAAAATTTCAATTCGAATGGAACAAATCGTTTTTTCTTAAATATAAATCGATGATTTGTTGATCCAAATGAAAACTTCATTAGGTAGAAATGAAAGCATTGTAAATTATGAGAGATAGAGCCTTAAAACCAAATTTGGGTCCCCTATAGGCAAGTGCACAACTCAGAATTGCGTTTTTCCACTTCCTGCACCCTATACAAGATGAATTAAATTAATTTTTTTTTGCATTTCCGTTTTTCGCGATTATCTCGGAAACTATGAGAGATAGAGCCTTAAAACCTACTCCATTCGATTCCTGAGGAAATTTGGGTTCCGTATGGGCAGATGGACGGCTCAGAATTGCGTTTTTCCACTTCCTACACCCTATACAAGATGAATTAAATTAATTTTTTTTTGCATTTTCGTTTTTCGCGATTATCTCGGAAACTATGAGAGATAGCGCCTTAAAACCTATTCCATTCGATTCCTGAAGAAATTTGAGTTCCGTATAGGCAGATGGACGGCTCAGAATTGCGTTTTTCCACTTCCTACACTCTATACAAGATGAATTAAATTAATTTTTTTTTGCATTTTCGTTTTTCGCGATTATCTCGGAAACTATGAGATCCGATCAATTAGTCCCTCATGTATAGATATTCAAAATTTTTATTTTTTTCCTCATTGAAGTAGTTTGGAAAAAAATTGCGAGCTAATAAAAAACATTTGCTAGTTAGGACTTTTTTTAAAATAAATTTTTGAAAAATCACCCCTGAAAAAAAAGGCGTTATCCCCCCTAGTGAAGTTTGTGTGTTTCACGCAGCCGAATTTTCATGCTGCTGTGTATTTCACGCAATTGAAGTTTTATACTACTGTGTGTTTCACGCAGTTGTATTTTTATACTACTGTGTGTTTCACGCAGTTGTATTTTTATACACCTGTGTGTTTCACGCAGTTGCATTTTGATACGCCTGTGTGTGTGTTTTTTTTGGCTCAAATGAAAGAGCGGCTCGAAAAATGGTGTGCAGAAGTCTTTAAAGATGACAATTGTCTCTAAAGATGATGTCTGTTTTCAATTGAAAAGCGCAATTGTGACAACATTGTCCAGTGGGGTCTAGGAG